ATGACCTCCAGTTCCATACAAGTTGCTGCAAAAGACATTCTTTCATTCCTTCTTATCTCTGAGTGGTACTCCATGGTGTATATATGCCACATTTTCTTTATCCACTCATCAGTCGATGGGCATTTAGATTGATTCCATGTCTTTGTGACTGTCAACTGTGCTGCGATAAACATACGAGTGCAGGTATCTTTTTGATATAATTTCTTTCCCTCTGGGTAGATACCCAGTAGTGGGATTGCAGGATCGAATGGTAGATCTGCTTTTAGTTCTTCGAGAAATCTCCATGCTGACCTCCGTAGAGTTTGTACTAATCTACATTCCCACCAACAGCGTGTAAGTGTTCCCTTTTCACCGCGTGGGCACCAACAAGCGTGTGAATTTTCTACCGTGTGTTTGCGGTGAGAGACCGGGAATTCAGAGAGGTTAGTGTACTGGGCGAGGTCTGTTGCCCCTGACCTTCACACTTACCCCTTTGCATTCCCCTTGTGTCACAAGGCAGGGCAGTGTGCACTGTATGTCTCTCACCCTGCTTCCCTTTGAGTTCTGCCAGTGGGAGACGCTGGTGGAGGTTAGGAGGTAGAGGAAGTGAGGACATGTTAAATTTTTTTCCCCGACTCTAGCAATGGGCTCTGGAAGCAGCAGTGGGTGACTGAAGGTGAGTACGAGTGGCCCTGGGCTCTAACAACATCAGAAGCATTTTAGCACATCAGCAGCAGTGGTGAAGGTCCATGATCTTCAGTAGCAACAGCAGTGCCTCTAGAAGTTCAGTGGCAACCGTGGGCTCCCACTATTCAGAGCCCTTTGGATGAACTCAGATGAATCTGACAACCGTGAACCTTCAAGTCAACCCAGGCCTCCTTTAACAGTGGAAACCGCCTTCCTCCTCTTCCTAGAAGACCATTCTTCTCCTGCTTGAAGATGCTGTAATGACCTCACCCAAGGCAGTTGTCTTGCAAGGGGCTGTCTCATCTCCTTGGACCTACCCCAGTACCCTCCTTGCCCCCAGACCCTTGCAAGCTCCGAGGTAGCAAGTACAAAGTCTGACCCAGAAGAAGAGTCTATGACACCAAAGAATCACAATGTTTCCTTCATGTGTGTTGACAGAAACCTGGGGGAGTATGTGTGGGAATGGATTATGTAGGTGCTAGACAAGGAGAACAAACCGTACTGGCCCGAGTTGAATTTATCAATATGCTTGCGTTTACTGGAGAGTGTAGATTCAATACACTATCCCAGCATTCGAAGGTGGCTCTAATAGTTTACTGGATTGATTGCCTGAAACCTGGACTTCGTGGTGGGCTACATTCATGGACGTTGAGATGCCAGAATTTCCCTAAGAGACCGTTCAGGGAGGAAGGCAAAGATTTCAGGAGACAGGAATGTTGCGGTGGATTTACTGTTTGTGACTTGGCCTTCCCATCTACTTTAAGTTCACCAGGAAGGTGCAGAGGACACTTCCTTCACTAAGGCACGGAACAAAGAATTGGTGAGGAAAGCACCAGCACCATTCAAAAGCTCTGGGGTGCTGTCCTTTGTAGCCTGGGGGTGACAGTGGGAGGTGCCACCGCTGAAATGGACTTCCTGGTTTGGGTGGGGATTAGCGGTGTCCAACTGGCAGCACTTACTGCTAGAGGCGAGCTGGGTGCAGTCACCATCCTGGCAGCAGAGCTAGAGCAACTGGAATATTTTGACCCAAAGGGACTTTTGTTGGAGGTGAATCGATCATGTCGTCCCCAGAAATGAAATATATGGGAGCTTCCTAAAGCATTATTTGATCTATGTAGTCAGGAAAATTCTAGGTACAGTGAGCAGAAACCTAACTTGAAGTGGTAAAACCAGTCCCCACGCACTGGTTTCCAACTTGTCTGAGTCCAGTGAGACATGACACTCACGTACACAAGTTACAGAAAGCAGATTTCTTACTTGCAGATAGGCAGCAAGGGACAACAGAAGCCTGGTCCCCAAGGCTCAGGAAAGCTTCAAAGGGGAATAGTGTCTCAACTGTGTGTGCCCCGAAGCTGGGGACCCCAGAAAGAAGGCTGGCCTGAGTTTCCTACCCTGGAGCAATGTGAGGCACCAAGCTACCGCACTGAAGGACATCCTGTTCTAGGGAGGACCGGAACAGAGCCCAGTCCTTTCCTGTCTCAACATACTACATTCCCACCACTTTCTATTGTTGCTCTTGAAAACCGCAAGCAAGAAAAGTGGGGGAACCATCCTGCAGAAGTCATCACAATAGGGACTTACAACCTCTTACACGGTTCAGAGTCCTGGAGCCCCATGAATGCAGGGAAGGCTGGATCTCCTTGAGGAAAGACCCTGTGACTGCCAAGAACATAAACTACAATCTTCCCGTCAGCCCTTCAGAGGACCTGCCGCTTAGCTGGGTGCACCCCACACCAAGAGCATGGACTTCCTCTCATCAAGACTGATTTAGCTAATACCACGAATGAGTGCCAAACTTGTGCACAGTTCCTGACACAGCAACCTTCACCATAGCAACTAGCCATCCAATGGCAGACTGATTACGCTGAACTCCATCCACCATGGGGGGAGCAGCAATTTGTACTTACTTATTCTATGTATGGATTTGCCGTCTCTGACCACTACATCCATGGACTTATGAATGCCTTTTTATAGCCTGGGTATGCCACATGACATCACTTCTGACCAAGGAGTTGATATTATAGCAAAAGGAATGTAGTAGTGTGATTATACCTATGGAATTTTCTGGTATCACCGTGCACTCTTTTGCCCAGAAGCAGCTGGACTTACAGAACATTGAAGTGGCCTTTTGGAGACTGTGCTATGGTGCCAACCAGGAGACACTGCGGGGCTGGAGAGCTGTCCTGCAGGACGCAGTGTGTACTTGGAACCAACCACAGTGCTGTTTCTCCCACAGCCAGAACTCACGGGTCGGCAATGCTGAGATGGAAGCGGCAGTGACTCTCGCTGTTACATGTAATAACAAATTCACAAACTGTGACTTCCCATCCCTGAAACTTTGGACTTTGACGGTTTGGAGATTAGAGTTCCCAAGGGAGAGACATTTCCACTGGGGGAGTGCATCAGTGGTTCAGTTGAATTAGAAGTCAATCTAGCTCTCGGCGAGGCCGAGGCGGGCAGATAGTTTGAGCTCAGGAGTTCGAAACCAGCCTGAGCAGGAGTGAGACCCCGTCTCTACTAAAAATAGAAAGAAATTAATTGGACAACTAAAACTATATAGAAAAAATTAGCCGGGCATGGTGGCGCATGCCTGTAGTCCCAGCTACTTGGGAGGCTGAGGCAGGAGGATCGCTTGAGCCCAGGAGTTTGAGGTTGCTGTGAGTGAGGATGACGCCACGGCACTCTAGCCTGGGCAACACAGTGAGACTCTGTCTCAAAAAAAAAAGAAGTTGAGACTGCTGCTTGCAGAGAAGGTAAGCACGTCCTTCATTCAGGAGGGCAGCTGATCCTGCTGGGAGTAAGCATCATGTGATTGTTCTTGCGTAGAAGTTTAATTATGAGCAGGGAGGGTCCGTGTGGATGTTTGAGTAGCCCAAGATGTGGGGAGTGTCTGTGGTCACTAAGTTCTGCCCTTGCCCTGTCTTGGCCCCTGGCTCACTGAGTTTTCTTTTTACCTTGATTTTAAAATGCACAGATTCTTACACTTTTTTGGCAAAATAAACAAAATTATGCTGTATGCTCTATAAGTGATTTAATGTTCTTTGGGCATTTTTTTCCTGTGTGAAATTGGGGTAGGCGGACATATGCCCTGGGTACCCCTAAGGTCCATGTATAGGTTAATGTGAGCAAATGGTTGTGAACATGCTCTGTAAACTGTGAAGAACTGTGCCCAAGTGCAGTGGATTTATGTCAGGGTCAGAGCTCTGGAAGGTCTATCCCGAAGCCAGCCCCAGACCCAGCAGCTTGAGGCCCAAACTCAACTCCTGCTCGCCCTTGTGAAGACCGAGTCTGAAACCCCATGTCTCTCCCCCTCTGGCCCCAACCTTTGGAAATGAGAACTGGGTGGACAACACAGGCTTAGAAATGAAAAGCAACTGTTCCTCCTGGATGCTTTATTGAGGGCTTTCAGCTTCTAAGCATGAGTGGCAGTGACACCCAGACCGTTTCCCAACGTGCAAAAGGCACAGGAAAGTGAGACCCGACCAGGGTGGCAGCATGGATGCAGAGACCCCCGCATGGCACAGTGCAGTGGAGGGCGCCCTGCAGTGATGGAGGGGTGTGCGTGAAGGAGAAGGCTTGGGCAGAAGCTGGGAGGGGGAGCTGGGTTCATCCCCCTCCAGACCCACCCCTGTACTTGGGCCGGGGCTGACCTTCCAAGAGGTCAACATGGTTTTTACTGGAAGTCCCACCTTACAGGGCAGGAAAACGCAACTCAAAGTAGGAAGAGGGTGATGGATGCTGCCTTAAGGGATTTCTGTTATATTAGTGCCAAACCAAACACGCTGGCCAAATCCAGAGGGGAATGGAGAGGGTGTGTTCATGGCGTTGGTCCCAACCATGGCCTGGCTGTGGGTGCCACTGCCTTGGCTCAAGCCAGTGCGGTCTCAGTGCACATCCAGGAGAAGCAAGAAGCCCCTTCCGGTCTTCAGGGGCCTCCCATGGGGTCTCTGGTTCTCCAGTCCCACCCGGAGGTACCGAAGAGTCGAGTCTGGATGTTGGCTTTGTCCTGTGGAAGGTAGTTCCCTGGGCGAGAGGGAAGGGGAGGCGAAGGGTCAGGCCCTCGGAGCCCCCAGCACCTCCCAGAATCTGGGCCCTGGTGGATGAGACAGCCTGGAACTCACCTCCGATCCCAACCAGTCCCCACGGTTCCATCTTGAGACCTCGCGTCGAAAGAAAAGGCATTCGTGTTTTGTTTCTGTTTTCTTTTCTCTCTCTCTCACTCTCTCCTTCTCTCCTTTAGTAGCGCCGTGGCCTCAAGTCACGGCATTGGCAACGTCTACTCCTAAACTATGGCATGTTTTCACACTGACGACAGGGTTACTCAGAACGAGGGGCGGCACGGCTGTCCACGTGTTCACGAGACAGTGAGTTACAGAGAGCTCGCTGGGAATCACACGGCACAGAGACACCAACAGTCAGACACCAAGCCCCAGGCCTGGCCCTAGATGTATTTTTTCTTGAGGTACCAGTAGGCAAAGTAGCCCATCCCGCCCAGGGAGCCCATGAGGAAGGACGCCCCGAAGAAAGAGGGGGGTTTCCGTTTGACCAGCCGGAACGCGTTGGGGATGACGGCCGACAGCAGGGTGGTGTGTATGTCGCCCAGGACTTTCCGGAAGGCAAAGCGTCTCTGGACCCTCTCAAAGAAGGACTGCAGGTTGGGCCGGCTGCCGTCTTCCCAGTATTTCTTGGACAGTCCCAGGAACTTGAGGCGGTGCAGGGTGGCACCCAGGAGGACGTCCGCGAGGGTGAAGGCACAGCCGCAGAGCCACAGCTCGCACTTCTGCCCTGGGGTGAGAGAGAGAGGACACGGGCTGGGTCAGCCTTCTCCCTCAGCTCGCTCACTTCTCTCTCATCCACTCCTCTGGCCTTGGCCTGCCGTCGCCCGCCACCGTGTCTCCCGAGGGTCACTCGCTCCAGGACAACTTCGATGACTTGTCATATCCTTATGCTACCTCTGCTGTTACTATTTTCTCTTTAAATCAACTGGCTTTTAAAGTGCAAATATGTGTGTTTAAGCTCAAGACTCACGTATCCAACTGCCCCTTTGACAGCTCGCCTTGGGTGTCCACTCTGCATTTCAAACTCGACACGTCCAGGACAGGATTCCTGCTTGTCACCCCCAAGCCCTCCACACTCACCCCATCTCAGTAACGGCAGCCACCCCTCCAGTCGCTCTGGCCGAAAGCCTTGGTGCCACCGTGCAATCTCCTCCTTCTCTCACCCCCCACGCACAGTCTGTCAGCCATTCCCATCTGCTTTATCTTCAAAATGCATCCGGAATCTGATCACCTCCGCTTTTACCATCCTAGTCCAAACAACCATTGTCTCCTGCCTAAGTTATCACAATGTCCCTTAAAAGCTCTCTCTGCTTCCATCCTTGCCCCCTAGCGTCTATTCTCAGAACAGCTGACTGTTCACAGGGGGACTGTTCAAACTCAAGCAGATCCTGTCACTTCTATCTTCTCAAAAGCCTGTAAGGACTCCCCAATGTGGCCAGAGTAGAAGCTGAAGCCCTTTCAAGCCCTATATGGTCCTACATGAACTGGCCCCCAGGTCCCATCCAGACCTCAGATTTCTACTTCTGTCCCCTTCGCTCACTCTTCTCCAGCCACACTGGCCTCCTTGCCGTTCCTCATGCCAGGCACATTGCCACCTCAGGGCCTTTGCACTGGCTGCTTCCTCTGCCTGGAACAGTCTTCTCCCACCTAGCCACGGGGCTCATTCCTCCACTTCCTTGAGGTCTTTGCTCAAATGCCAGCTTCCTGAGGGCTTCACAGACCACCAATTTAGGATTAAAACTCCCAACCCCAGCAGTCACCACCCCTCCCCAGGTGTATTTTTCCATGTAGAGCCTCACCATTATGGCGCCATCTGTCTCACACACTCGTTTTGTTTATTGTCTGCCATCTACTAGAGCAGAAGCCCCATGAGGGCAGGGATTTTGGTCCGTCTTGCTTGTGGCTGTATCCCCTGCACCTAGAACTATGCCTGACACACAGTAGGTGCTCAATAGATCCCCCCCTTTTTTTGAGACAGAATCTCACTCCATCACCCCGGGTAGAGTGCAGTGGCATCATCATCACTCACTGCAACTGCCAACTCCTGGGCTCAAGCAATCCTCCTGCCTCAGCCTCCCTAGTAGCTGGGACTACAGGGGTACACCACAACACCCGGCTAATTTTTCTATTTTTAGTAGAGACAGGGTCTCGCTCTTGCTCAGGCTGGTCTCGAACTCCTGAACTCAAGCAATCCTCCCACGTCAGCCTCCCAGAGTGCTAGGATTACAGGTGTGAGCCACTGTGCTGGCCAGTGTTCAATAAATCTTTACTGAATAACTGATGAATGAAAAAAGAAACTATATAATCAACAGTATCATTAGCCATAAACTATCTGCAATAATAAAAGTAAGCATAACAAAAACAAAACAAATGCTATTAAATTCCAACTGGATACTACCGCCCGCCAGAATCTCTATGCCCCAGACTTGTTTTGTTTTTAAGAACGGGGCAGATGTTAACACATATTATAAAGGGGTTAAGTACTAGCATCATACTAATGCTGTTTCTTTGATATAATCAAAGGAATTGAAAGCAAATAACTCTCACTAGGTGGTTTTATATTATTCATCACCATGTTTGTGTGCCATCTAAAATTAGCCTGTGTATTTAGAAAACACCTGTTTGTGAAACATGTTTCTTCCAGGTGTTTAGACTTGAACTTCGGGAGCTCCTTTGGTCTCCTACGTCACCTCTTTGCTCAAAAACCTTCAATTCTCCCCACCAACTACACGTTAATGTTCAAATTCTTGTGTCTGCCTTCTAAAGCCCTTTCAAGAGTTAGTTTAGCTCCAGTACACTTCTCTAATCCTGACTCCTCATGAACTGCCCACCTGCCCACTGTTTCCCCCAAACAAGCCCTTTGTGTTTCAGCCTCTGGGCCTTTGCCCCTGCTGCACCCCGTACCTGGAGTGCTCTTCCCCCACCCCATCACTTGCTGGAAGGACTGCTTCCTGGGATGCTTGCTTATGCACCTTTGAACGGGCTGTGGGATTCCACGAATCCAATGCCCCCCGCCATCAAAACCTGAGCCACTCCCTTCACTCTGCATCTTCTTGTTCTAATCAGCAGTTTGTTCTTGAGTACATAACCTTCGAGATGCCTGAGGAACACCCAAGGAGAGAAAATGAGCCGGCAGTTAGAGATGCAGGTGCCCAGTTCAGGGGACGCCATCAATACGGAGGTGGCATTTAAAGCCAGGAGAGTAGAGGCTATCAGCCAGGGAGTGAGTGTAGACAGACTTGAGAAAAAAGCCAGGGACTCACCCTGGGGCCCTCCACGGTTTAGATATTAGGCCACAAAGAAACCAGCAAAGGAGATAAGAAGGAGCCGCCTGCGAGTCAGGAGACAGTGGCGTCCTGGATGCCGACATGGGAGTGTGTTCCAAGGGGGAGCGAGTGCTCGACTGTGTGCAAATGCTGTGCAGAGGTCAAATGAGAGGAGGCCCAAGAGCTGGCGATTGCGTTATTGGCTGATGACCTTGGCAAGAGCAGCTGGAATAGAACACTGACATAAAGGTCTGGTTGGA